TGCAGAGATATTTTGCTACAAACACACAAGGATTGCTCCTATGCATCACTATTATGAACATTTCTTACAAACAAGATAAATTAAAATAAATTAAGATAAACAATTAATTAAACATTTCAAATACATTGTTTTACGTCTGCCCTTTTTGACGTCGAGATTGAAATTGTTTGACTGTTCAATAAGTATCTGTTCAACTGAGCGCAATTTTCTGTGTCTGTTTTGTAGTTTAGTCGTTTGTTATTTGGTGTGCTTATAATGGTTTAGCATTTCTAATGTATATAGCTTGTTCTAGTGTTGCTCTTGCTGAACGATTGTTGTTGCGCAAAGTTTCGTGTGTGGTGGTTTTTCAAACAGTGGGACATCTTGAGCTGTTACTTATTTAAACCACGATAACCAACTGATTCCATCTGAACCAGTACTATGGGAGATTAAGAGGTAGAGTTACTATGTCGAATTATTTTTTTATTAAATTAATATTCTATAATTTCAGCTACTCTCTCCCTCTCATAGTATGATAATTGCCTTGGAGTGTAATGAAAAGGGGTAGTATCGGTTAGTCTTATGGTAATTTTCTGTCTCGGGCTTGAAGAATAGTCATGTTAGTTACGGAACTGATCCTTTTGGGCCACGCCGGCTGGCTTATCGGTTCTCTAGGGGTAGTCCCATCCCAGTCCGCACAATCAATATCAACAAGCTACAACATCTGTAGCAGAACAGACCTACACAACTACCTACCTGTAGATCAAACTCATATATGAAAAAGCTAAATATTTTAAGACAATAAAATTATTAATACTATCAATATATAATTGCTCCTAAAATTAGTTAAGTGATCAGTCACTTGACCTACATATGCAGGTGCAGGTGTTTGCCAAAAGTTGACCCTTTCGGCCCAACGGGCTGCTGCAGGTAATAAGGGGTCAACATTCATTCCTCAATTCAAGCCCTAAATCATAAAAAGAAGGGCGCGCGTCAGACTCGTGCCAATAATGATATTTTTAAATTTTGCGCCCATGATCAGCCCATTCACACACATTTGTGTCTCTGTGTGTGTGTGCGCAGAGCTCGAAATTCAGAAGTCCAAAAATATTGCCAAATTTGCATCGGACAGGCAGGCAGGGACCGACAAGCACACAAGCGCATAAACGCCTCTATTCATATACAAAATATGCAAGTATGCGTGAATAGCAAGTCCAAAAAATTTTAAATGCACACATGCTAACTCTTAGGTACCCTTTCGAAGAATAACGAGCTAAAATGAAAGAATTTCGCATCGACGGGGCAAACCCTTTCATTATTTCATATTACTCGTCCCCTCAAAAGGGAAGATATGCCACCGACTTTTGAGAAAAATTGAATTTGTGGTCATTTTTGCTTGTGCGGACACATACACACACAAACATTTAAACGGTACATAGACAAATTGAAAGAGCATTGAGAGTAAGCCAAAGCAGTTTCCTGTAGTGGGAGCGAGATAAAAAACAGCGATGCCGTTCTATCGCACAAATCATATGGATGAGAGTAAGCCACAGCAGTTTCTTGTAGAGTGAGCGAGTAAAAAGACAGCGTTGCCGTTCCCCGACACAGGCCATATGTATTCTTACTGTCTTGCTTCTGAGAGCATGCGGGCATGTCTCGAACCCGAACAAAAACGAAGGCGAGTTTGGACCAGCCGCAGAAATATCGAATGTCACCATCGAAAGTAGGGTTTGTCCGGTCAATATGTTATTTGGTTAGTGGTTGAACAGTCAAACAATTTCAATCTCGACGTCAAAAAGGGCAGACGAAAAACAATGTATTTGAAATGTTTAATTAATTGTTTATCTTAATTTATTTTAATTTTTCTTGTTTGTAAGAAATGTTCATAATAGTGATGCATAGGAGCAATCCTTGTGTGTTTGTAGCAAAATATCTCTGCACTTTGGAGAAGGGAGTGGCTGTGAGTTGGTACTTTGTGTGGAAGGACTTGGTGCAGAGAGAGCTGGAAAGGGCAGCATTTATGTTAAATCGTGAACTCTTTTAGTTGATGCCCTCACGCGATACCGTTCAAGTTTTCCTTTAAGCAAATCTTGCAAGTTTGCGTTTTAACGATCATTAAAGTGCGATAACGTTATAATAGGAAAGAGTTAAATTTGTTCCAAACCGGGAACTCGCTCTTAATATGCAACGATTATCCTTCGGCGATAGTGTAATTTTTGGTAGCTTAGAGGCAGTATTTAACTCTAGTTGTAGATGTGTTATTTAAATTAAGTACTACCAAAAATTGGACAGTGCTCAGTTTTCAGAAAAATGTTCATCATAATCAGTTTTTATTTATTAAGTCGTTCAGCATTAACAGCAGATGCGAGTTCCGACGTTCTTATGCATATACATGTATATAAACTAGCGGGTATACCCCAGATTGCCCGTGGCACGTATAAAATAAATTCTCTCAAAGATCTTTGAAAATGAGTTTGAAACCGATCAACCGCCAATTTACCACTGTTGCGGATGAAATTTCTCAAATCGCTGAAATAAGTATTCATTAAGTTCTTATGTAAAGATTTGAAAATAAGTTTGATGCAAATCAGACATAACTTAAAACTTCACCAAAAAATCTTGAATCGCACTTTCCAGTGAGGAAGCTTTGATTATTTGAAAAATGTGAAACACGTCTCAAATGATTTCGAATGAAAAATTTGTATAGATCTTTGGAAAGAAATTTGAAAACGAAACTACACCCACCCAGTCTTTGACCCCTATTTCCACAACGGAGGAATACATTTTATTATTTCCACTCCAACGAAATTGAATTCTAGAAATCTTATATTTGTCGAGTTCGCAAAAGTAATAATGTCGCTTATCGTAAATATAATAAACACGACTATTTAATCTCGTGGCGGACCATAAAAAGAAAACATTGTTTCGGGCACCAAAATTTATGGCACTATTATCAGTGGCTGTTAGTAATACGATAACAAAACTAAAAGGAAATAAAATAATAATAATAAAAGTACCAGCCAAGGAGCCACACGGAGGACTACATGCTGGTCCATCCACCTCGCAAGCACGTCATCTGTGGCCCGCGCAAGAGTGCACGTCCACGACTACCGGCGATTTTTTGCCCCGTCGCTGACGCCGAAAGTAGACCAGGAGGCTAAGCGGCCACGGGCGAGACCACGCCGATACATCCGAGAGTCTGTTCCATTACGCCCATCCTCGCCCAGAGCAACAGGCAGAGTCAGACGCAAACTCATCTGCGAGCTCCCTGAAAGAGAGAAGTTTTTTGCGATTATTAAATTAAGGTTTTTTTTGTTAATTTTAAATGTACTTACGCATATAGATATATATATATATATATATATATAGATATATATATATATATATATATATATATATCCGGTGCCATGTATTAATTTGCATTTGCATAAAGTGCCAACGGCGAGGGAACGACCCAAATGTGATTGCGGCCACCGACAATAACCTTTGTCAAGTTTCTCCGCTTGTTCAAGATCGTACGAAAATCTTGTTTAATAGCATTTTGTAAAAAAAAACAAATGAAATTTTAGAAATTAAGATTAATTGTTATAATCATACGATATTGCGCCGAATAATACGCTCCTATTGAGTATAAAGAAATGTCCGACTAAAAGTTTGTTGATGGAGGGGTGGAGAATGTCCACGTCGTTCGTGCCGTCTTACATCTGAAATATAAGGGGTAGTGAAATGCAAATTAATAATTGGCACCGGATGGGCGGGAGTCCCATGGCAACAACAGCGAAGCCACCAATTGTCGTCCGATTTGTTGTTATTGAGATTTTCATAGTTTTGTCACCTAACCAAACAACATATATGTAGATGGGACATGCAGCTAAATGAATGTGGACTATCAAAATTCTTCACATCTGGTCCAAACTCGTGACAGCATGAGAGTAAGAAATACATATGATTTGTGTGGTAGAACGGTATCGCTGTCTTTTTATTCGCTCACACTACAGGAAACTGCTTTGGCTAACGCTCATCCATAGGATTTGTGCGATAAAAATGCAGTGCTGTTTTTTTATCTCGCTCGCACTACAGGAAACTGTTTGGCTTACTCTCATCCATATGATTTATGCGTTGTACCTAAGCTTTGGCACGTGCTTTTAACATTTTTTGGACTTGCATGCACGCACACTTGCATATTTTGTATATGAATAGTTTGAATATAATAAGTCAATAAAATCATTAATACAATAAATACATAATTGATGATTTTAATTTTTGCACAAATATCCGCTGGTCATAAAATTATTCAAGTGATCAGTCACTTGACCTACATATGCAAGTGCAGGTGCTTGCCAATCGTTTACCCTTTCGGCCCAACGAGCTGCTGCAGGCAATAAGGGGCCAACATTCATTCATCAGCTCAAACCCGAAATCATAAACAAGTAAGAGGTTCTAGTCGGGAGCTCCCGACTAGGATATACCCTGAAACCTCATATTCCTACACCAAAAGCAGCTGGCACTACGCGCTCGTTTGCCTTAGCACTTAGTAATAAAGATAAATAAAACAAGTAAGAGGTTCAAGTCGGGAGCTGCCAACTAGGGGATACCCTGACCCTAAACCCTCTTATTTCAACACCAAATGCAGCTCGCTCGTTTGCTTTAGTAGTAATAAAGATAAATTGAAAAAAATCTCTTTTGGCAAGGTTCGAACTTGCAACTGATGCCGCATTACTTGCCGCCGCCTCTACTCAACAGCCACACCAACAATTGAGTTTTAATGAGAAAAAAAAACCAATTAAAATAGCAGCACAGAAAACAATACAATCGCAATTGCAATGCTGTCAAGAGAATTTAAAGGAGACGCGCATGAATGTGAGTGTGTACATGTATACAGCAATTCTTGGAATTTGCGCTTGCTGCCGCGGATACGGGAAAATCAAAACATGTTTTTTTAAATAACTTCTGTGTCTTTGAACCGATCTAAATGAAATTTTGTAAAGTATCTACATCTTATTGTGTTATATAATACTTACGTATTCTCAAAAAGTCCATTGCATTTAAATTGTGGCTTATATTCGTGGGCATCATAAGTTCGTTTATTTACTTGATTTATGGCTATGTGGTAGTAGCAGGCAGGTGGTGATAGCTATAGAATGAAAAATACTTTATATATACACTATTCTAGAAGCTACATGTCAAGATTGGTGACTCTAGCTTTTATTATTTACCGAAATTGCTCAAAAAACAGGATTTCGATATCGACTTTTATCGATTACTTGGAAACGGGGCAAGCTATCGAATATCGGAAACAAACTCGACCTGCGCGGGCACTAGAAGGGCTTACAGCTAAAATTTCAAGTCTCTAACTCTTACGGATATGTCTAGATCGACTCGACTATTGATGCTTTATGGGGTCGGAGATTCTTTCTTCTGCCATTTTCACAAATACATTATACCGTTTTTACCCATTTTTAATGGGGTCAGGGGTCAAAAGAAGGGCGCGCGTCAGACGCGTGTCAATAATGATATTTTCTTTTGCGCTCATGATCTGCCCATTCACACACATTTGTGTGCATGTGTGTGTAGGCTAGAAATTTAGTAACATATATTTTTTGCGCCCATTATCTGCTTATTAGCACACTTTTGTGTGTGTGTGTGTGTAGAGGTCGAAAGTCAAAAATCCCAAAAACATTAAATCTTGTCAAATATGCATCGGACACGCAAGCAACCAACAGGCACACAAACGCATAAATGCATATACAAAATATGCAAGTATGCGTGCATAGCATGTCCAAAAAAATCTGGAATGCACACATGCAACGCTTAGGTACCCTTCCCAATAATAACGAGCTAAAATGGAAGAAATTTGTATCGACGTGGCAAACCCTTTCATTATTTCATATTTCTCGTCCCTTCAAAAGGGAAAAACTGCCTCCGACATTTGTGCGGACACATACACACACATACATTCAAACGATCTCTAGACATAATGAGAGGGCACTGAGAGTAAGCCAAGCAGTTTCCTGTAGTGGGAGCGAAATAAAAAGACAGCGATTCCGTTCTACCACAAAAATCATATCTATTTCTTACTCTCTTGCTGTCACGAGTTTGTACCAGATGTGAACCAATTTGAATGTCCACATTCATTGTTCTGCATGTCCTATCTTAATGTTGTTTGGTTAGTAGTGTAGCTCTGCCGCTGGCCTTTGTTTACGTTTTGGAATCAGCTGTTTTAGTAATGTGTAGATTTAGTGTCGTTTTGTGCGATTGTTCGTGATGGTGGGCATGGGTATACCCCTCCTAACGATTGTACTGGGGAACTATTATGATAAAGAAGATAATATTTTTTATTATATTGGTTGTTTTAAATTTCTTAAAGTTATTTATACTTTATTGACAATATTCAGCTAAAATAGGGACGTTCCATTTTCTACAGATGCAAGTACATATGGCCTTGGAGCCATATTGTTGGAACGACAAGACGATGGTAAAATGCACCCCGTAAATTTTAATTGGGCAATGCAACAGGAGCTTAATCAAGATATCACAGCTTCGAATTGGAAAACATTGCCATCATTTATGCATTGCGCTGTTTTAAAGTATACCCAGAGCATAGAGCTTTTGAAATGATAATGAACTTTAATTCTTTGTCACAAACACTTAGCCGATAAGCCATTAATCTACGGACTTTTCGTTGGTCACTTGAGTTTGAAAATTACGGCTTTTGAATCGAGCATAGACCTGGTAGCAACATGTCGCATGTAGACACCTTGAGTAGACAGAAAGAATTAGTGGACATAGCGAATAGTAATAGGTGCAGTAGAAATCAAAGTGATAGCTGCAGTGAGAAGCACAGTGATTGCTGAATAGAATAGAGCGTGAAGGCAACCGTATAAAGGACTGTAAGAGTGCATTAAATGATTGCTTAGGCGGCCGTAAATTGCCCTGGGGGAATATCAGCAAGAATCTGAAATCGTAGGGAAGAGAAAAAGTTGTAGAATAGGTAAAGAATTTGAGTTTTTTGGGAAATATTTATTGCAATCTCTACCCATAGTTGGCGTTGTAGGTGCGACGCCAAAAGATGTTGACTTAATTGTGCAAGCTTAGAGGATGAGAGATGCTGAAGTAGTGAATGTCTCTAGGACAAGTCTCTAACTCTTATAAGTTATGATATTTTCTCGTGTAGGCTAGAAATTCAGAAACAAATTTTTTTTGAGCGCATGACCTGCTTATTAACATACATACAAACATACAAATTTTAAATCTGGTCAAAATGCATCGGACAGGCAGGCAACCAGCATGCTTACAAACGCATAAATGATTCTACTCATATACAAAATATGCAATTATGTGTGCATAGCAAGTCAAAAAAATCTAGAATGCAAACATGCAACGCTTAGGTACCCTTACCAACTATGACGAGCTAAATGCAAGAAATACCTCCGACATTTGAAAATAATTTAATTTGTGCGGACACATACACACACACTTTTAAACGATCTGTAGACATAATGAGAGAGAGCTGGGATAAAGCCAAACAGTTTCCTTTAGTGGGAGCGAAATAAAAAGACAGCGATACTCTTCTACCACACAAATCATATGTTTTTCTTACTCTCTTGCTGTCACGAGTTCGGACCAGATGTGAACAATTTTGAATGTCCACATTTATTGTTCTGCATGTCCTGTCTTAATGTTGTTTGGTTAGTGGGGTAGCTTTGCCGCTGGCCCTTGTTTATGTTTTGGAATCAACTGTGTAATGCTAATGTAATAATTGCTGTGATGTACCAAACAAGCGAGCGCAGCGAGTCGAAATCCAATATGGGAGGGCCAACAGAGCGATAAAAGTGGTGCTTCGCAGTCTTCACAGCGGCTTCCCATAGTCGGCCAAAATGCGGAGAGCGAGTATTCAATAGAGTCGGATAGGAAAAACTCGTGAACAGGCGGCTCAGATCTGATTCTTGGCATCTACAAAGTTTGTCGCATTGTCAGACCAGATCCTTGAAGGTCGAGAGCGATTCAGGATAAATCGATTTCCGGCTTTAAGAAACGATGTTGTACACAAATCCTTTACAAGCTCTAAGTGCACAGCCTTTGTAGCGAAGCATATGAACAGGCTGATATAGCATTTCACTTGTAGAAAAATGGTCCGCAGTAATCAACGCCAGGTCTACAGTTAGTTCAGCTCCTCGGATTCGATTTAAAAACTTGTAAATATAACCAAAGACCCGTTGCAGCTTGGAAAACGAATTGATGAACTTGCAGCCAATCGAGAGATCAAGTTGCGCTGCAGTTCCGAGAAATACCTTGTATCAAAACAGCTTCGGTTGGATGGTAGGACCTGCCATCAGTGCATCATTAAGCGAGTGTCCAGGGGTAGTAGCTAACAAACCATCAAGCCATAGCTTGGCTGTAGTGCTATCCTCCTTGAACACGCAGTGATGTGACAAGTAGTACTTGCGTTGACCCAGTGCAGCTAAGCTTACAAGTGACATATGATCCAAGTCAAGATATTCCTTGATAAATACTGTATTCTGGGTTTTCAAAATTGGTTTGCGGCCTAGTTTTCTTTCTAAATTAGGGAATCGACGAAGCGCCTTTTGATGGAAGTCACGAAACGAACCGAAAACTCGCCAGTCGGCAGACATTTAAAATTGGCCTGGAAGTGTGCCCCCAGTCCCGATCCTCCCTGTTTGGTAAGGACTCAGGCTCGGTGCAGCAATCCAGTTCCCAAAAACGACCGATTAATTCGTCAATATGTGCATTCTACTGCAGATTCGAGACTACCAGCAGATCTGGATTCACCGTTGATCGCATGACCACGAGTGATGATTTGTCCGCATGTGTCCCGTCGCGAGCCAACCAACGCGAGTCCTTTGCAATATCGGCTGTCCAACAGCTAGTTAAATCTGGCTAACGCATAGCAGACCGAAAAACAGACTGGCTCCGATCAATATGTCGATTTGCTGAGATTTGAAGAGTTCAGGATCAGCTAGTTGTAAATTTGACGGAATGTTAAATGATGCAGGGTCAAGAGTGAAAGCCAGGCTGGTTATCGGTGACGGATGGTTAACAACGCCGGGATGCATGTGAAGTACTCCGACACTCGAGATTGGACATTGATGTTTACCGCAAAAACGACTGTTGTTGATTTGAATTTGCGCAGCTGTAGCTGTTGAGCAAGACGAGAGGTGATGATGTGCAGCTGCGACCCAGAGTCGAGCATCGCACGGCAGGGCACCAAGGAGCCAACTCGTTTTTTTACATTGTTGACGGCAGTTGCAAGTAGGATAACATCGTGCTTAAGATGCTGGGCGGTGGTGAGTGGCGAAAATGAACTTGCCGCCAGAATGTTTAGAGATGAAGAATAATGGTCGGTATCTTAAGCATTGTGCGAGCTAGGAGCAGCGTTGTGACTGCTTGGGTTGCCAAGATGCAACAGGCTATGATGCTTGCTTCCACAAACTCTGCAAGTGCAGCTGATGTCCCCTTCGCAGGCAATTTAGGCGTAAGCCGCTTGGCTTCGTAAAGGTGTAGTGAGGGCTGGGTTCCAACCGCCACTTGATTAGCTGATGTCACCTCACCATTTTCATTTGCACTTGTACCTTCATCAAACATTATAAATGTAGCGCACAATAAGGTTTACACAACCGAGCTACTATACAAGTCTACGCACACAAGTTCATTCGCATCAATGCGTTAAATGCAGGCTCAATCATCGCACTGCAGATTGCACACGGCCCGACTCAGTTCCGGCAACACGCGCCCACTGCGGTGGTAACCACCCTGCCAACTATAAGCACTGTGAGTGGTTCACCGAATATACAAAGCATGCGGGGGCCCCAAAGCCCGCCAAAATGAAAAATCTCCCACCGACTTAAGCGAGCCGAAGCCGCAGCTATAAAGTTCATGGGCCTACACCTATTGACTTCCCCCGTACAGCACCCACTGAACAAGTAGAAGGGCTTTGATACGCCGCTGCCACCAGAAGATGACTAGCTGCATTCAGCACAGAGAACAACGCCCCCAGGTCTAGCCAGCAAGAAGGACCAGCGCAAGCCGAGCCGAGCTATGGAGAGGATGGTAGAAATGCAACAGCAGCTTTAGGGTATGCAACAGCAAATCCTTCCCCTTTTAACCGTGTTGCTATCCGATTGAACATGCCACTGAAGGTGCTAATCTAGAATGCTAATGGCATTTCAGGCAAAGTACTAGAAGGCCCTAGTACAAAAACACGCCATCGGAATAATTCTGCTCACAGAAATTAGAACTAGAAAACAAGATGTCACCTTCGCCAGCCACCTGGAGGAACGGTTTTCAACATTCAATTCAGCCTCCCCAGAAGAGCTCGATGATACTACCCGAGCGTTGGAGAGTCCGATTCAGATGTCACCACCTATCGGTCATATCCGCGTGGAGGAGGTAATCAACGTCGTCAAAGTCCTTCCTAGGACTAAAGGTCCGGGCCATGATGAATATGCCACACCGCCCTGAAGGCCCTGCCAATGCGCGCGCTCCTTTTTATAACGTTCAACGCCAAATTAAGGACGCAACCTTTCCCTGCCCAGTAGAAGTTAGCGAGGATCCATATGATCCATAAGCCGGGCAAACCGGAATATGACCCTGAGTCATATCGGCCGATCAGTCTCCTGCCTTCCCTGTCGAAGGTCTGGGAAAGACTGATTGTCGCCCGACTTCCAAGGCTTATGGATCACATGGCCATCCTTCCTGATCACCAATTTGGGTTCAGGGGTGGGCAACCACGACATAAGAGACGCCCAGAGTCTCTACCCACGTGACGATGCAGCCTTATTCAAAAAAGCCGCTTTGTCGTTAGTCCACGATAAAGCCTGAGGACTTAAACAGACTTGGCGAAACATCACCTAAGCCAACTGTGTTGTAATTAAAATTTATGCTATTTTTGATCCAATACAATAAACAAACAAAAAATATAGTTTTATCCCATTTGCAGAAATAGTATAGCTCAAAACATACTTCCAAATTTCAAATAGGACCTTGAACAGGAAAACGCACACCTGCTGCTTTACAAGCTTTTCTGTTTAGCCCATCATGTCCAAATATTTGAATCTCATCAAGAGATGTATTGTACCCACGATCGTGTGTCTATTTTTATGTGATCGCTACTTCTCTGTCCGATTTAGCTTTCTTAAGAAAGCTCGTTAAAAAATAACTTCTGATATGCTCTCAAATTTCCCAATTATGCGGCCTCCAAGAGATAACCGCAATTATAGTATAAAATGTAGAAAATTTATAGCAAGTTACTTAATGGCACTACTAAAGCGTCCAGTATTCAAAAGAGTCC